ACGCCAGACGAGCCCGACGATGGTTCGGCGTGTGTGGCAGTCGGGCTAGCGATTGTAATCCTGCAGCAAGTAACGGTTGCTCGCGGTGCATAGAGACACGTTGGGGGCTTCATGTGCCTGTATCTGGATGCGGGTGGTCGTAACGGTTTTCCAACGTCGCCATCACGTCGCCCTCTTCAGTTCGTCAGTGCTCCGCGGTCGCCCCGAAGTGGGTCTACGGCTATGGGTATGCTCGTCTCCCCATCGTCGCCTTCCCCGCACCGCCGACGTCGCATCACGGCCCACGTGGTCAGCAATGCGCCGAAAGGACCACGCGCTTTGCGCAGGCCGTTTAAATTGGCCCAAATGCTTAAAAGACGAACGAGTGCGACGCCGTGGAATACCTAAGACCCAACTAGACTTTATCACATTTGAAAGATCCTTTTAAAGTCGCGGAATAGATGGTGCGTCCGGGCCATTTCGTCACGCTGCCATTACGTCACCTGGCGTCAGTTATCCGTGAAATGTTAATCACGAGTTCTACAACCCCCTCTCCCATCCCTAATGTAACTTATTGCCTACTTGATCGCTCGTGCTCTTCCCGATGTTGCAATACTTTTTTCCTGCCAGTGTACATCAGAACTCTGAAGACCAAGCAAATACAGGGAATTGTTTAAATAATTGTTCAGACTCGAGTTTGATGAATGGTTCAATCTCTTGTAAAATCTACACATTCCGTCTGAAAGTTTTTCTCTTTTAATCGATAAGATGGATTGTTTGAAAATCAGCTGAATGACAGAATGAAAAATCAGCCAATATATGGTCATCGTTGGGCAAAATTATGAACATTCTCGCGGCTAATGATTTAAATTTCAAGTTAAAATATATAATATAAAGATATTTTACACCTTTATATATATAATACAAAAATTTCCAATTACATTAAAATAAATGATATATAATTTTAAAAATCGGAAAATTCGATTCTGATTGCACTCTTCCAGAACTGACTGACTCGCTGCTGGCAGCGCAAGCTTTTGTTTTCTTCGCTGCCGGGTACGAAACATCTGCTACGACCATGGGCTTTGCCCTCCACGAACTAGCTATGAACTTAGATGTACAAGATAAATTGCAGGTTGAGCTCGACTCCGTGCTCGGTGAGCACAATGGTGAATTTTCATATGAATCCATACAGAAGATGAATTACCTGGACAAAGTTATCCAAGGTGAGAAAATTGTCATTCCTCTATGTACTTTCAATTTTGACTACAAATCATTACAAAATTGGTAAATTCCTTTTATTATTTTATTTCACTGGTTATCCTTTTGTGTTGTAGGTTACGTTATAATTCTTGTTTGTGGCTGTAAGCTTCACAATACAATGAGAAACTGAGCCTGCAGGTCGTGGAAATTGTTTACTCTCGTCAATTCTGAGAACAACAAATTATGTGAATAATCGATTAATAGTTTCTTTGCGTCAATTCAGGTGGCAAATTGTCTTTAAACAAACTTATTATTTAACCTATCACCGTCTGATATATTTGTAAATAAGTGTAGTTAGGATTTGTGGTAGATCAACCTCTATACTTTCTCGCCTTATGAATTCAATTGTCCACGTCTCTTTTTGGATTTCTAAAACATCTCGATAAATCAGCTGTTGTATTTCGACGCTTATGATTATTATGGAAATGCCTATTCCCTGTACAAACGGGTGGTTGAAGTGGTTAAATGTCAAGTTCGGACTCCACATTTAGGTGGAAAGGACAACTGGTTCGAACCTGTCTCGTGGACAATTGTTTGCCACAACTCTGTTGGTGCTGAAAACTATTGACAATTTCAGAAACTTTATTGAAAATCATTAGAAGCAATTCTACTCACTCTACTACAATCTGTTAAGATTCGAAATAAACAATGTGTTTGTATGTCATATTCGTATTTTGAAATTTTAAACAAGTGTACAACTCATTTTTAAAATATATGACAATTATTTGTTCAAAACAATATGCAAATCAATATAATATTGTGGAGCACTTAGAAACATTGCGAGAAAGAATGTGCTGTGGTAGCATCAGTAATTTTAGAGGAAGTGGCACTTACTCGAGGATTGGTAGTAATTAAATAGTTCGTTGATAGTTTTCATTTTTAACATGTCATTACAGTACACATGTTGTAAAACAGTGAGTGCAGAAAAGGAAATCCACAAAGGCTTCCTTATCAACGTTGTCTCTGACAATTGGAAATGTCAAGGAAGGGTATTGCCCTGTCGACTACTTCTTGCGCCTACGTGTTCACTCTCACTTCCGAAGGCAGCTCTGGGCAAACTTTTTCCCCCAGTACCACGCGCTTTTTTAAAAGTCAGTAATGGGGAGACAACATTCTTAAAGAGATGTTCATCACTCATACTTCCAACTTCAGACATTTTTCCACAAACTATCTTGAGGTTTCCCGCCACAGAATACTTCAGAATACTTCTGTCAAATACTCATTACCTGCACGTCAGAAATTGGGATTGCGCCTCTCGGGAACGGTTCCCTCGCATCCTGTACCCGGCTAATCCCCCTTAGTTTTTGGCTCCCTGAGAAGCCGCTCCCAGATTGCATCCCGGCTGGTATTTTGGGTATGGAACGAAGGAAACAATGTAGGTTAGTTTCCATTCACAATCAACGCAAATCTATGTTCCCGCACAATAAAGAGATAATTATTACGCACGGATGAAGGGGTTAGAATAATGGGAAATGTGTATGTTGTCTAACAAAATTTTAATTATTCAAAATCTGCATATTTTAAGGGAGTACCATTACCGCCTAGCCGCAGACCACGGTAACCATTTTCAGTAAATTAAGAACATTCAATACTATTTAATTTCTAAATGACACGCTTACCTTAGTGTATCTGATCAGTACAAGAGTAAGCCAAAATAAACAAAGTTAAATCGAGCACTTGTGGAAACAACGATCTTCCAACCAATGGTGCCTGGACGAAAACTTCCTTGTACTCCCGAGGGAAAGCTTAAGGATTGCACTCGTGCTATGCGTTTTTCGGGTGGAAGGTTAAAGGCTTAAAAAGAGTTAACTGCGATTTGCAAGACGATTGTCCAGACGATTTATATTTCCAATCAACAGAGACTTTCTCCCATTTCTGCTGGATAATTTTGCACGTTTTTCAAAACTATATTTTTCAAGCCTCTGACAGCAATTTTTTCAACTCGTTTCTTAGGAACACAAAAAAAACGCTCCCTGATTCGCAACTGCCCACCCAAGCAAGTTCCTTAACATTTCTCACCACAATATGTCAAAAAGCAACATGAATTTGCCCTTTTGCAGAGACGCTGAGGAAATACCCGCCGCTGCCCAACCACTTCCGGCGATGCACGGTGCCCTACATCATCCCGGGCACCAAGGTGCGCCTCGAGAAGGGCACGCGCGTCTTCATTCCCATCCTCGGCCTGCAGATGGACCCCGCCTACTTCCCGGACCCCCACAAGTTCGACCCCGAGCGCTTCAGCGAGGAGAACAAGGCCACGCGGCCGCGTTTCGCCTATTTGCCCTTTGGGGAGGGGCCGCGCAACTGCATCGGTGAGTGCACAGGGCGAAGTCAAACGGGCAGAGGTGGTTTAATAAGTATCTCTTAAGCACGTACATAGAACATTTACTGGAAAGAGCCCAGGTAAAATGTATGTTAATAAATACAAAAAATTATTTGAAACTGTCAAAGCTAACGTACATACTTATAGCAGTCATGTTTTAAATTTATATTATATATGAATGCTCCTAAATACTTTCGTGATATATCTCTGAAAGGTTGGGACAAAATATAGATTGTTAGGTTCGCCTTACAAAACTAACTGACCATTCTTCTGTGGTCGAGATGCAGCTGGCATAAACAAATTTCTGTTCTGATTGGTAGTTTTCCGTAGTTTCTCCGATCAATATCAGGCGAATGCCGGAGCAGTAGCTTACAAATATACCACAGAGCGCGCGCTATCTTACCTTCCTTCCTCCCACTCCTTACACGAAAACACACCACCCTTCTACTTCCACAGGAGACCTGTCGCAAGCTTAGAACTCGTCTCCGCTAGGGCGGCGCTCAGTTAGTGAGAGATATGTGGAAGGGAAAATTCGTTGTAAGCCGATGTATAGGTCGGCACCGGATCTTACTATCCAGTGAGGAGCAACATCTTCCCTTCCAGTGATGAAACCTTCATTACATTAACGGTCTAATGACCATTGCAGTTAACGTGTACGGTATTACTCGCGCAACATTTCTTGAACGAAGTCCTTGCTTCCCCCTCTGTGGCACAATAAATAGTTGAAGGCAAAAGCTCGCAGCTGATGACAACATTCCAAACACATCTTCTCTGGCGCGAAATAGAAACAATTTCTTTTGAAGACTAGAACGTACATCCGTTATTTTCTCCAAAAAATTTAAAGGAAGGACCGAAGCAGGCCAAGATATATCACATGAGATACCTCGAAGTCCTGAGAAAGTTAGAACGCAAATTATTGAGGACGTTGCGAAGGCATGACTGTTTCTCCAGATGTTGGTATTGCTTCATACAATCTAGTGGCCGATTTCGTAACTAATACCCCCAATCTACCCGCATTTCTTCAATCCATTGTTCAAGAAAAGTTGCGCGAGTTATAACCAATTGTGTGAACAAAGGAACTAGATAATGAAAATTAAATTGTGACTTACAGCCTTATTTATTTACCAATAAGGTGTCATTCAATAATTTTAGAATTGTGTTTAGAATGTGCTCATCGATAACTGAACGTTTTGAAAGATGTTTTGAAGAACTATCGTACCGTCTAGTGACATTTCACCTACGATCACCTTGTCCAGGAGAGACAAGGGCGTTAACATCTAGCGTTAATACTATGGATTGCTGTTACGCAACATCTTCAGATAAGGAGCTTTATATTACTCAAATGCAGCCGTCACATTACCCCTGCATGATGGATACAAATGCAGGCTTGCAGTGGCTTTGACGGGGAACAATTTAACTGTCATATAATTAATCCTCATGTACGATAATGTAGCCCTAAATCTAGGGGAAGCACTTCGTCAATGTTTGTAGAAGAACCTGGATAGTTGACCACGAATTGATGGTCGACAATATTGTATAGTTATCGAATGCATTTCTCCTATCTGCTATACGATATTGTAACATGGCTCAAATTACACACGTACTTGTATATACGTTCACTTATTAATATTCTAATTCCTTTGGTCTCGGCGAGCTATTCGAAATTACCACATACTCTTGCCTGCTGTCTTTTATCGCCGCCCAAAGTACATGTTTCTGAAACTTTCTTAATTGTTTTGTTTCCTAATAGGGGAACGAAAATATTATTTTAAGAATATTAAATAACAATAAAATCTCTTCCTAAACGGCAATCTTCTTTCATAAATGTGGAGCTTTTCTTTTAGAAAAATAGCGCTTAAGTGCTACAGTAAATTCGAAATTTGGAGCATTTTTTCACATACAATTTTTGAGTTTTCGAGAAACTTCATTTGAAATATATTAACTCACAAATACAATGGTGGTTACAAATTATTTGAAATGAGCAAATTACCGGCGTGAGAGATCCTTAAAAAAAAACAGTTGTGTAATTTTTGAAGAAAAAAAATTAACTGGAAATGAACTTTACGTCTTGTTGAAGAGTGTAATTAAATATCATTTAGAAAATGTGAAGAAAAACGTTGGAGCCGTTTTTTGAGAAAATGGCGTAACGGCAACATGAGAGCGTTCCCACAACTGACACGCACGTTCCGATTGATTGTTAGTGATTCCGGATTACTAAGGTCATTCTTCTCGTAAGTGTAGTGTATGTTTTTGTTCGTGAGTTGGCGGTGGTCTTCTCTCGCTGGATGGCCAGATCCGGCGCAGACCTACCGTCGGCTAGCGGGGTCCCCCTACAGGTATCTCCCAGCAGGGGGCACCCCCCAGCCGGGACAAGCTGTGGCTCCGGACGGGTGTCCCGGCCTATGTGGTAGTGTAGTGCGCGTTAGTGTAAGTGTGTGCAAGAGGAAGGATCATAGGACAAAGAAGAGCTAGGAAAGGTCGCGAGCGGTCCGTGGCCCGTTTGTTAAGGTACTTCTCCGGCATTCGCCTGGTGTTGATTGGAGAAGCCACGAAAAACTACCGATCAGAGCAGCCGGCCGCTAGAAATCTCCTCCAGACAGCGACTGATTGCGACCTAGTTGACTAACTATTGTTCCAAATTCTGCCACTGTCGGCACTCGAGTCTAGGACTTCAGAGGAACTGCAGTCATCAGTTGATGCTCTCAGCCATCTATCCCTGTCGTATATTCCGCTTTTGCGTATTGCGATTGTAGACAGTATAGAGTTTGATACGTTGTTACTGTACCCACCTTTAGAAGACCCATAATTAAATTATTTCACTCGCCAAATATATATTTACCGAATCTCTTACAGTCAAACAAGCTGACGTTCTACAAAAGTGGGCCAGTCTCATTTGTGGTCCTGCGTGCATCAGGAGTAAATGGGCTGAAATCTCGATCAGATGCCATAGACACAAAACCCAGTAAAAATCAGTAGTATATAGGGTGTGCCTCATACAAACATAAAAACGAAAACCGAAGACTTTTGTACGTTATATTACAAAAAATCCACTATACGCAAGGAACAAGTTTGTTCAAGTTTGGTGGTATGAGCAATTTGGTCACACTGACTGGACAAAGTATTTTTGTTCGCAAACGGTTAGCAATGTTACCTTTACCACACGAAAAAAGAACAGTTTCAGTATACCAGATCCACGATACTGTAACAAGTTCCCTTGTTACAGTATCAAGGTTCTGGTATAATGAAACTGTTCAATTTTTTTTTCGTGCAATACACAGTCCTATGAGATGATTTAAAGCAGAATTCAGGGCCTGGCTGTTTCAAAATGGCTTTCAGCCTCAACTTATTTTCATTTTTAAAACAGTAATTTACAAAGCGCGAATTATTCACATTAACCCATCCAGTAATATTTCCATCACGAAAATTAGTATTCTTTATTTCTCAGGGTTCTGTCGTGCCCTGAGCTTATGCTTTCGCTATGTTATTCGTACCTTTACTAATGTTCTGTGAGATGACCTGGCCTATGAGATGAACTGATCTGAGTCCGGTATCTGGATGTTGGGAGGCGGTTTCAAATGTGAAATCATTTTCGTTTTAAAAACGATTTAAGAAGCTAGGAACGTTCGCACGAATTCAACTAGTATCATTTCTCGCCATGCCAATTAATATTCTTTATTTATCCTGATTCTGTCATGCCCTCCAATTGTGCTTTGCAGGCATGCGCTTCGGGCAGCTGCAGACCAAGCTGGGCCTGGCGGTACTTCTGCACAGCTACCGCTTCACCCCTTGCGACCAAACCCTGCGCCAGGTGAGGTTCGAACCCAAGGCCATCTTCACCGCCTCCCGCGGAGGCAACTGGCTGCGGGTCACTGCACGGCACTGAACGGTCCACAGGCTGCACTGAACGGCCGCTATTGTAATGGGGGCAAATCGACACGCAAGGCATTTGTTTTCACCGCGATGCAACGTTTACAAACGACATATAAATATCAGTCAGATTTTTCTTTTAATATGTAACAAATATGAATATTTTTATACAACTTCAGAAATTTCCTATGTCACACGCCGATTCTTCTTTTGCGTGAAGATTTAGAGTTCGTAGAATTTTTAGGGCGGAAAAATGTTCTCGGAGCAAGTGGTTTGTATCAGCCGTCTTTCGGGATGGCCATCTTTCGGGGTGGCTACTGCACCTACTGTTGTTTCTGCAGCCTGACAGCCACTCCCTGTGTGCCTGTGGCTGGCACGTGATTCTGCATCCCTTGCCCTTCAGGGGCCTTTGCACTTTCCCAAGGTGTGGAAGCCAAGTCCTTCACTCATCACAGTCCTCCTAGGCGCGCTTCATTTGCTGCGACCGGCGGCAATGGGGGCAGGAAATGCTACATTTACTGTACGCATTTTATGCAGGAGTTATATCTTTTTACTAAAGTATAATTGGTATGAGGTTTGATTGAGTGGCCTTGCGACAACTGGGCTCATTTACATAGCATGGGGAAAATTGTATGCATTGCCAAATCCCATGCATTGCTAAGCCACAAATGGGTGGTCCATGGTTGGAGTACTGGTTGTAATCGCAGAGCTGGTGTTATAATTGTGGTAAGCAATGTCGTTGAACGCACAATTTACGTTTTCTATCTTTGATTAAAAATTTATTATTTAATATTTAATCACGTTTTGTCATAACGTGATGAGTAATACAACATATGGTTTTGAATGTTTCACTAGTCATTATCAAGAAGAAGAAATGTGATAAATTCATATTTTTAAATTTTCATTTTATTTAGATTAAACTTATTATTTAAATCTTACTTGTGTTTTATTTTTGCGTATGCATGTGTGTGTTTGTTACCAGAGAAAGCAATCGTCGTGGCAGCAGAAAATAATTAGTGTATGCAAATACGAAAGAGTTACATAATGCATATTACAATCTTTCAAATACAATTACAATGTTTGCAATTATCGAGGCAGGATTACAGAGCAATCAAGGTCAT